AAGACTTTGGAACGACACATACTGATGTAAAGCATGAGAACCACAGTGCTATCGTGGGACTTTAAGAAATTGCAAACATTCCATCTCAAGAAAAACAGCAATCCCGTATAAACTCAATACAGATGTTCTAACTTCTTTGTTTCATTCTTTGGGCATTCTTAACAATAAAAATCCCCAAACCAGAGTAAACTGTTCGCAAGCACCGAGGAAGTAGAGCCCCCACCTGTGAAATGCTTTATTTCACTCTTGAGGTGCCTCAGAGCACACGGACCGACTTCATGGCACCCGCTCAATGGCAGGTAAGGATGTGATATAACAAAGTCAATGCCGAATAGGAAGACGTGAGGTCCTCTGGGCGGACCCTGCACAGCGCACAGCAGTGTGCGGCTTCAAACGCTTTTCCTACCGGTCTCTTCATTTTCTGCCCTTCGCTGCTCCCAACCATGTACAAAATGCAGTCCTTTCACAAGCTTTTAGAAAGTTTTTATTGGTTACAATGATATAAAACGTATCATTTAACGTTACCCTAGTTATTAAGTGCTTGCTAGCAACAGCATAAAAATACTTTCGTACATCTGACAAGCTCAAATGATGTTTCATCCTGGAAGGGATCAACAGCAAACAGCACTCTTAGCTGGTCTGTCTACAATTAGCCTCTTTCTCTCTTAAAAGGCTACATTGGTTCAAATCAACAGACAATCCCTTTTGTATGTCAAATTATAAATTTTAATGTTTTCATTAAAATAGTCTTTTATATCATAACTCTCCAACAAGAAACAGTAAAATAACTAACAGCAAACTCCAGTACAAGAACACTCTCCAGATTAACAACTCAAACACAAATGTAAAAGGCAAATCACAATACAATTGAAGCATCCAAAACAATTTAAATAATTTTAAATATTTTATTTTTAAACTGCTACAAATGCTTTATACAATATTTCAACACAAAAGTCCCCAGAACAGAAATGTAACAAAATGGGAATGATAGTGAAAGGATTAAAATGGCACAAATTCACCAAACAAGTATTAAACTACACATTTTAAGAGGTAGATTACTTTTAAAGTTGAAAACAAAAGAAAAAAAACACATGAATAACCTAGCCATTTCCCACCAACTCAGTCATTAATTAGGGTGAAAGCATATATAATGTATGGAGAAATGATACACCCAGGAAAAGGCCAATTTGTAGTTTTTAAATCTCTATTAGAGACTGCAGTGTAAGCCTGGTATGTAAGTTTATTTTTATTTTTTTACTTAAGTGCAGACATACACCTTTCTAGGCCTGAGATGCATCGTAGGCATCGGTATATTGCTACATAGCCTCCCATTACATAACAGTTATAAATTAGTGCCACATAGTTATTCGAGAGGATGTCCATCTGGATAAACACACATGAAACTGGAAGAGGCATAAAAAGGAGTCCATATCCAATCCGGTTTCCTCTCCATTATGCTGGCCATCAGCTTGTGATTTAAAAAAAAAAAAGCAGGCAGAGAGAGAAGCTAAATGCCTCTGTCTGTAATTAACTTAAAAGAAAGGCATCAAGAGCTGGTGTGTGACCAAAACTTCTTAAAACAAGTGCATTAGAATTGTCATCCCTGAAATCTACAATAAACTGCTGACAAAAAAAGAGAACTTGCTTTGCAAGGTTAGGTTCAATCACTCCTTCCTCTGCTATGTGCCAAAACCAGGGCCACATTCACATCTGAGTTATCAGTCCTGTGACGATGGGCCAGTTCATCTAGCCCGTCTTACAGCACCTCTGGCATCTCAATCACCCAGGTGCCCAGCACGTAGTGGGCACCAGCGAAGAAGCAGATGCCTGACTCTAACCAGGGCAACAAGAAGCCTGCGGATTTGTGAGACAGCTTCAGCTGGTCTTGCAAGCTGGGTAGATTTCGCATCCTTTGTCGTAGTGCTTATCCTAAGTTGAGCATGCATTATCTTTATTTAGTCAATTAAGGTTTGTTTTGTGTGGGGGGCTTTTCTACAGGAAGTTCCTAGAAAATAAGAAAACTGAAGATAAATGACAACATAACACAACCTTACATGAATTGACCATGTTAAAGAGAAGGTGAGATGATCCATATGACAAATGTTAGGACAGCAACAGGTTGATTCTGGAAGTGTGCAGCTACGTGGGGGCTGTTCAACAGGCACACGCTGGCCAGGCCCCAGCCCTACCGGGAGTGGTGTGGCAGAGATGGACATGGGAGGACACATCGTTTATTTCTGCAATAACCTGTGGTGCATGCTGGGGGCTGGCTCTTAATCACAGATGGCTATGATGACACACGCAGGAGAGGAGGTGCTGCCAGTGCTGTGGGAAGTCCTTCAGTACACAACAGGGTGAGTAAAGCGAAATCACTGAGAACAGAGAGAAGTGAGTATTTCTGACGATGTGCCATGAAATCATCCCTGAATAAAATTGACAAGTAGAAATCTACTGAAAGGGAAGACGACTATAGTTAAAACAACTCCTTACCAGTGTAACACAAGTATGTACCAAGGACGAGGCCTGCTAAGCCCTCATGATAATCTCAGGCCTGAGTTCAGGAATCCTGGTTTTATACCAAATGGGCTAAAGGCACTAAAAAGAGAACAAACCCCCTGAAGAAATGCCCACTCTTGTGCCCAGATAATCAGAATATGATGCCCTGTCTTCACAAATTCATGGTCACTTGTAAATGGACCCCTTTTAAGACACATCCTTCTGATGTGTCCACAGCACAGTTCAGTGACAAACACCAAGGGGAGCCAGCTAGCGGGGATGCTGCTGCTGCCACCTACCAGTCAGAACAAGTTTTCTGATCTGATTCTCTGTGCTTCCTTTTAGGCCAATTTCACTCTAGCATTGTAACCCTCTGTTAAACAATGAAACAAAGCAAAATAATTACAATAAACTGGAGGAAACAGAGATACAATTTTAGTAGGCACTTTGGTCCCCTGTGGTCTTCTTCCAAAAGCACTGCATGAGTAAGAGGCTAACTGAATGAACTTGATAAATGTAGTGACTCAGAGAACTTTTCTGTACCCTTGAACGGTATAAATGGGATCCAGTACAAAATGATTCTTTCAGACAAGACTGGAGACAAAGGGGGGTACGCATCGTGCATTCTAAAGCATCAACCACCCGGGGCATGTTTTGTAGTAGACTGTAAAAACAATGAGATATTCTGGCTTTTTATCTTTGGAAAGGACTCGAATTCAAGAACCTCCTATTGTTGAGGAACTTCCAGAACAAAGACAGAGTACAAACAGGTACAGTTACAACACTACAGCAGGCCACTATAATGGCTGATAGGTGCTTATGTGTATGGCATGGCCAGAGACCAGATGCTGAGTAAGATCTATAGTAACTAATTGTTTAGTACATTTCTGAAGTAGCTGTTTAACTATCAGTTTTGGCTAACAATTCTTCTCTACATCGTTATTTAGCCATGACTTAAGGCACACGGGCACCCAGAATTCTACCTCGTCAGCTGTGCACTGGGAACAGTGCCTTTGGATCCTCATGACCGCCCCCCCCACAAACGGCAGACCACTCCCCAGCGAACTCTAATTCTGCTTTTCAGACACTGAGAGGGACAGCCAAGAAAGCCTTGAGTCCGGCAGCTCCCTCCGAAAGGACAAGATTTTGAAGTATTTTGCAGAAATCCTATCTGATGGTGAGCTTTTCACAAGTTTGACCCGTAGGCATTTTTGA